ATCCATCCATCCATCATCCATCCATCCATCCATCCATCATCCATCCAACATCCATCCTCCACCCAACAGTGTTTAATGTGTCCTGCCGGGGTGAACAGAACCAGAGAACAGAACCGGTCCCAGTACCGGTTCCGGTGGCAGCACAGGCACACAGGTCTCTGCCCAGCAGCCCCATGGGAACGCAGGCCTTCTGGATCGGTGTTGGCTCTTTGAAGCCCAGAGCCGTGACGGCCTGCAGGAACAGAACCGCAGAGCAGGTGAGACCAGAACCGGATCCAGAACCAGAACCGGGTCCGCTGGGTCTCACCTTGAGAATGGGTCGGGACAGGTTCATCTCTTCGAACGTCAGCTGCTCGTTGTACTGAGACGCGTCCTCAGAAAACGTCTCTGGAGCCTGAGCACAGAGACAGACGTTACCATGGTGACACATTCATCAGGACCAGCCTGTGCTCCTCTTCCTCACCTCCTCTTCCACATTCTTCTTCTTCCTCCCTCGCCGCTCTTTCTCCCTCAGAGTGTCTGACAGGAAACAGGAAGCAGATTAGAAAAATAAAAGACCAACCAGAAGAAAATATGATGAGTTCAGACCCAGTCAGAACCAGAACCTTCAGGAGGACAGCAGTCATACCTGATTTGGTCAGAACCTCTTCATCACTTGAGCCAAACTCCTCCTCTTCATCACCATCCTCGTCCTCTTCATTTCTGTCAGCTGGCTCCTCCTCTTCCTCCTCCTTCATCTCTGAGCCTTCAGCTTCAGAACTCTGAGACGATTTCTCCTAAAGACAAAAGACTACAACTCATACAGGAAGTAAATAAAAACAGGAAGTAAATAAAAACAGGAAGTGGATTCAGGACAGACTCACCTCAGCTTTCCTCTTCTTCCTGACCTTCTCTATTTTCTGGTCCAAAGTCGTCATGGTTCTCTGTGAACACAGAACCCGGTCAGATCATTTTGTAAAGAAGCAGGCTGCAGGTTCTGCTGGGTTCTACCTTCTTCTTGAGCTGCTTCAGGACGTCGCTCATGGCCCAGTCCTCATCCAGGCTCAGACCGTCTCTCTCTCCAAACTCAAAGTCACAGTTGAAATCTGTCGACCTTTGACCTCCAAACTTCTTCTTACGGTTCAGGATGATAGGCTCCTCCTGCAGAACATCATCATCATCATCA